ATTCCTCCTTCTCCTCCTCTTTATCCTTATCCTACTCCTGCCCTTGTCCTCCTACCCGTGCCTCCCATCCCCAATCCAACCCTTCTCATCCACGTCCCTCCTCCCGTGCACCCCCGTGCCCAGGTGACGGCCACCTACGCTGATAATTCGGAGAGCCCCAGGGTGGACGGGGTGAAGCCGCCCTCGTTTACGCGCGGCCGTGTCTCGCTGGACATAGCGCGAGGACCCGCACACGGAGTTTGACGAGGGGGAGATGACAGAGCGGTACAGTCAAGTCGCTGAAATAAAGACCGCGTTCGGGACGGGGCTCTGGTTTTGGGCGCCGTTCCTTAGACTTTGTCGTGGAACGTATTTGCGGTCGTTTGCCTACCGTGGCCAGAACAGTCCATCCGTGCCTTATTACAGCCAAGACGCTGAAATAAGGAACAATTTGGATTCGGAAAGGGCTCGATGTTCCTTACGTCCGCCCGCGGTTGTTCCTCTCGCCCTTCTCGTGCACCCAGGCTTTTTTGAAGCCGCAGGGGGGCTTCGTTCCTAAGGTAGCGCCCCTTATTTCAGTGGCCCGACTGTCTGCGTTCAAGGGGGTGGGGGGCGGGTGCGTCGCAGAACCATGCACCGACAGTGACCGCCTGATCGAGTGCAGTTCCCCAGCGGAGAGCACGCGCGCAGTTTCGATCACCTTTTAGCCAGGTAATTTTCGAGTTTCGTTCGCTACTCTCGCGGACGTCGTGATGATTGAATCCAAGTGCCGAGCTCAGTGTGCTGCATGGGCAAGCCACGGCGCGAGCGCGGCACTGCAGTTCTGAGCGAGTGCGCGCAGGGCATGAGCCCCAACGGCAAGCGACACGCTTCCAGGATGTCGGTGAAATTAGTTTATTTCTACGTCATGCACCTTCAAGCGCCTTCCTGCTTCAAATTCGGACGGTTCTTTTCATTCTATCATATTCAAGGGTGGGGCGGGTGCCCACTACATTTCCAACGCGTTCCTACTTCATGGTTCTACCTACGTCTCTCAGCCGACGGGCCCGCACCGATGGTGAGCATGCAATCCGATCGCGGATGGTGGAGAAACCTCAGCATCCCCGTGCCATGGCGCTGCATCTGATTGCCGTTGTCCCTCGTGACTCGTCGCGTGCCCGCTCTTCCCGCCCCTACAGTGTGCTGCACTATGGGTCCAATGGCATTGGGGGTTGGCCTCAAACACAACCCTCATTCGGAAAGACGCCTTCACCCAAATGCCATGTCCCGTGCCCCCCGCCAGGCGAGCGACGCAAACATTAGTTTGGCGAAGGACCCAACCATATGCAGCTGCGGGCGCCGCGGTTGTGAAGACAGTCGTCGGTGGAACCCCCATACGGCGCCGCAAAACTTGTGAAGGGCGTGCCGATTTAGGGAGGTGGGCGGGTGCATGCGAACCCTCCCACTGGGACATTCGGCGTGCCCCCCCCCCCCCCCCCCCCACATGGGCCACAATCCGCGCGAGTGGTGCGCAGACACGGGCGCTCGCCCACGTGCGAACTGCACCGCGGAAACCGTCGGTGGAACTCGATATGGGGGCCACGAAGCGCGCGAAGGGTGTGCCGAAACGGGCGCGACGCCCATGTGCGAACTGCACCGCGGAGACCTTCGGTGGAACCCCCTGGGGGCCACGAAGCGTGCGAGGGGTGTGCCGAAACGGGCGCGATGCCCACATGCGAACTACACCATTGGGACCTTCGGTGGGGAGCCCCATAGGGCCGCGAATAATGTGAGTGGTGTACCGAAACGGGCGCGGCGCCCACATGCGAACTGCGCCGTCGTGACTTTCGGCGTAGCTCCTTATGGGACCACGAAGCGCGTGAAGGGCGCGTCGAAGCATAGACGATGCAATTATAGGGAAGAGAGGGGGAGCATGAGGATGAAGGAGGGAACGCGGGGCGTTGTCTCTTCAAAACGGGGGCCGTACACGACAGGATGGTTGGGAACATAGCACGATTCACCGACGTAAGCTGCCCGCGTAAGGTCGCGCGCGTTAAGCGCCACCGCCTCTACACCATAGCATTCCGCAGCGGCGGCCCACGCAAGCCGCGGCGCAAGGTCGGCCAACATAAAGTGTGTTTTATAGCAGCGCACATGTGCAGTGCAGTTGTTTGCTGATGATCGGGTGTCCGCCCATTTCATCACCGATGGCGGTTGGCTGGGGGCGAGCTTCGGGTTGGCAGCGCCGCTGCCGAACGATGTCGGGCTCCTCATCTCGCCCCATGCCCTCCGCCTCCTCCTCCCGCGTCTTCTCCATCCTTCCCCGCCCCGCCTTCTCCTCCTCATCCTCCGCCGCCTCTTCCTCCTCATTCTCCTCCTCCTCGTCTCCTCCTCCTCCTCCTCCTCCTCCTCTCCTCCTCCTCCTCCTCCTCCTCCTCCTCCTCCCCCCTCCCCCCCCCCCCCCGCTCCCGCTCCCCCGCTGCCTCGCCCCCGCCCGCGCACCTTGCCCCCCGACCCAACCCAACCCGCGCGCAACTCGGCTTGCAACGCCCACGCGGCGGCGATTGCGATGCGTGCACGGGGTTGGCTGGTGCATCTCTTCGGCCGCGCTAACGCGAGCATTTGATGAGTCCGCAAGGGCTGCACTCTGCAAATTCCGAGAACGAGGCGCAGGGAAAGGCGCAGGGAAGGGCGCAGGGAAGGGGGAAGGAAAGAGGGGACAGGGAAGGGATCAATGGAGGGGGTTAGGGTAAGGGTGGGGGTCAGGGTAAGGGGGTAGGGGTAGGGGGTAGGGTAAGGTTCGGGGGTAGGGGTCAGGGGTAGGGGTAGGGGGCAGGGTAGGGGTAGGGGTAAGGGGTGGGGGTAAGGGGTAGGGGTAAGGGGTATGGGGTAAGGGGTAGGGTGTAAGGGGTAGGGTAGGGGGGTAGGGGTAAGGGTAGAGGTAGGGGTTGGGGGGGAGGGGTAAGGGTAGGGGCAGGGGTGAGGAGTAGGGGAGGGGAAGGGGGGTAAGGGCAGAGGGATCATGAGGAATCAGGACGCAGTTGTAAGATTATATACGTGTATGTAATCTTACGATAAGATGCAACACCATATGTAAACGTAAACAGTTATGCATAGATTTTGTGCACACATATACTTATGCGCAAATATGCACATGTGTATGTATACGTATGTATACATGTGTGATAACAAAACTCGGTGCTCTGAGGACGCACTGAAGAAGTCCGCAGGACGCCTGGGGGCCCCATGACCTCGAATGAACTCCGACGCAACCCGCATATTCATCCAATCATCGCTTCGAGCTCAGCGAGCTCTTCGTCCGAATGAGGCGCCAGCGACGGACGGAGGCGGCGGCTGAGGGGGCACATTAATTAGGCGGAGCGCCTCGTCCCACCGGCCTGGGCTATCGCTGTGCCCTGGAACCCTCAGGACGTGAGCTCGCCAACGCACCTCGTGGATTGAAGACTGAATGATCGAATGCCCCCGCCGCCGATACGAGGCCGCCGCCCCCCAGCTGCGGCCGAGGCTGGCGGGCTGCAGCTAGGGGCGAGGGGGCGGCGGCGTTCCCGACGGCAACGCGCGCGCTCAATCATTCAATCCCGATTGGCCCGACGAAAGAACATAGCTATTAGCACGTAGGCGCCGCCACTTGCGGCACGCGTTCGCTAACGCGCGCACTGAGAATGCCGTCGCACGCGCGCCCTCGGGGACGCTTCCAAAGCCCAGATCGACACGGGGACATCGCAGGAGGAGGAGGAGGAGGGAGGAGGAGGAGGAGGACGACCAGGGGGAGGAGGAGGAGGAGGACGACGACGACGCGACGACGAGAAAGAGGAGAAGGAGGATGGAGAAGGAGAAGGAGGAAGAGAGGGTAGGTGAGAAAAGGCCTTCGTCAAACTCAACCGACAGGCATTGTTGGGCGTCCGTAGCCACGATGGCCACACCACAGCCTCCCCCGTGAAAAGGTCGCTCATGGCCCCGGGCACACCCCGCCGAAAACCAAGAAGCTGATTGGAAACAAAAGGCGCGCGGCATCTCCAGCTCCTGAGGCCCCCCATCTTTTCCCCGACCTCCTGGCCCTCCCCCTTCCCCCTGATCACCCGTCCCCCGCCCCACTGTGTTCTAACTGTGAGTGTACTCGAACTGTTGTGATGTGTGAATTCTACTCAAACCGTTATTTGTATTCAAACTGTGAACTGTGATGTGTACTCTAGTACTCTAGCTGTTATCTGTACTCAAACTGTGATGTGTAGTCGAACTGTTATGTCCAGACTTCTACAAGGCATTACTCATGCCGCCTGTGTGATCATATCTCTGGCCCGACGGCGAATATCGTCTCCGAGGGTGGCGGCTCCAACCAAGAACTAGAAAGGAACAGACACGGTGCAATCCATAATCCGTTTTTCACGCCGAAGGCAGCAGGCAATTGAGTCTCCAGGCAGAAACGAGCCACAACAAAAATGTGAAAATGCTCCACTGCTCGGGGGGAAGCGGGCAAAGACAACTGGCTCAAGACGCAAATCGCAATCGCCAGGGTGCCAACTCCCCCCCGCCCCCAAGTCGACCAAATCACTCTTGGTGCGACGCCGTAACTGTTCACCCCATCCTGGGACGGATCGCCTCGCAGCGGGCTTGAGGGGCACGGGCGTGGCAAATCGGGCACGAGCTGTATCGACGCTGAATCGCTGAAATCGAACCTATGCTGAAATCGCATCGGCGCTGAGTCGCTGAATGATGAAGGATCTCGGCCCTGCCCCTCAAGGACCCGCGCGGCTAAACGCAAAAGCAAACACCGAGACGAAAAGCTGGGGGCTGGGCCGCCCGACCGAGCTCGGAATCCGAGACAGAGACTGCCGACCACCGACTACACACGATGGCATTGGACAGTCTAGCTGCATCGGGGGAGGGTCCTGAACCCTAAGAAACGCATTCGAGCACCCCACCCCGAACTTCAAACAAAATCGGTAACGCACTCCAGCACCTGATGTGCCCCGCTGCAGACACTGCAGACGCCCGGTCCGTCGACCAGAGTCGGGCGCCTGTCACGGGGGCGGCGGCCGCGCCCCCGCGGCCTTCGCGGCCGCCGCCTTGATCTTCGCGAGCTCCCTGTTGAGGTAGTCGCCCAAGTTTTTGGGCAGCCCCGTGTTCTTGGTCTTCTTGATCTGACTCTCCAAGATCCCCTCACGCTGGCTCTTCAGCGACTCCGGGAGAGTGATCAGGATGCACTTTACCGTCGACGCGACTGAGATGAAAGCGCGACCCTGGTTCAGCGTCTTCTGGACAGCCTGTCTGGGGATATCCCGTAGATCGGCGTCGGACACCCCACGCCCCCAGGGACCCCCTAAAATCCACATTGAGGCCCGATTGTCATGATCGGGCTGACCCGTCGAACTACGCCCGCTTGCGGCATGGTTCAACGGCGGGAGCACGGGGCCGCGAGAAGGCCCCCGGGGGAGGGTGCGCTGCCGCCGATCAATTTACGATGCCCCCCAGCCGTGCACACCGCAGCATGCTTGACTTCGAACTTCGCGTCTTCGCCGATCATCGGGCTCTCGAAGCTCTTCGCCACGGTGAACGCTTTCGACAAGGCCACCCAGGCGGATGCGAAAGAATCCCAAGTCTTGGACAGCAGCTCCTCCTTCACCTTGTCGGTGTTGAAGGTGTCCACGCAGAAGGGGACATAGTCGGGTATCAGGTGCTCCAGCGACTCCGCCTCGGCCGCGAGCGTGGTGTTCATCTTCGTGGACACGGCCTCGAGCAGCGACTTGCTGTGCTGCACGGCCGCGTCGAGCTCGATCATCATCCTGCCGTGCGACACGAAAGGCAATTTCAAAACCTTCGCGAGAACCGCAACCGCCCCACTTCCACTCGAACGGAGCGCTTTGATCATCCAGTAAGCACCCTGAGAATGGAGAGCCATCGAGCTTCCCAAAGAAGCTGGGGGGCGCTCCACCTTCAGGGTGCCAACTGGATGATCAAAACGCTCCGTTCGAATGGAAGTGGGGCGGCTGTGGATCTCGAGAGCCTCGGCCGCCTCCCGCGAGCAAGCAGCCTGCGCGCCCTCCGACAAGTTGACAGTGCTCGCGCAGCTCACGTCGGCAATAAGCGCAGTCCAAGTCTCGAGCACCGACTCCGCGTTCACATTGAAAGGCTTGGCAGTGATACCTCGCATACTAATGGCGAGGGAGGCGTAGGAAAACCTGATGCGGACCAGCGCCCACCGCATGCGGAGGGACAGAGCAGCATCGGGGTTGCCAATCGCAGCGAAGATAGCGGACACCTCCTCCATCTTAACCTGGTTGGCCCCGAAGTCGCCCTTCACGCTCTGCCAGATCGAGGCCACTTGGTCTACTGCATCGTCGTCTTGGTTACCACGCAGCAAGAAGATCGCAGCGCCCTGCGACCCCGACTGAACTGGGGCACCTGCTAATGCCTTGGCCAGGGTGGCATTCGACAAGCGCGGGGAACCCCCAAAACAAAACAAAAAAACAACTATCATATTCGCGCCGCATGGGCAATCATCTTCGCGCCAACTAGAAGATCAAATTGGGGCTCGAAGTGCGCGAAGCGCTGAAGCGACGATGACGAGGGCGACGACGACGACGATGACGACGAGGACGACAAGGCCCCTGTCGTCCTCGTCGTCGTCGTCGTTCTCGTCGTCCTCGTCGCCCTTGTCACAAGGGCGACGAAGACGACGAGAACGACGAGGACGAGGACGGATGCCATCGGATGCCTCCCAATACACTGAGTCGGCCTTGAAAGTGAGCTCGAGAACGTTCATCTTGGGGGTCACATTCTGATCCGCGTGATTGGAGAGCACACCACTGCCCCTCTCGCAGAGCAGCTTCAGCATGGCCATCGGGGCGCCCTTGCGCTCGACCAACTCTCCATGCTTCTTGACACACATCTGGATTTGTTCTATCATCTCAGCTAGCTCCTCCAGAGATCCTATGTCCTCCTTCAGGTAGGTCGGGTCGATTACTTCTACCGGCCCATCGAGGAGACAAACGGCCAAGTCATACACGATCTTGTTTGCCAAGAGCGACGCACCTGGCTTCGCATGCGAGTTGGGATCCAAATACTTCAACCCACCCTGAAACGTCACAATAACTTGTTCGAACTCTTCGGAGTACTTGGCCTTCATAGCAACGATGTTCGGCTCGTCGTCGACGTCGCTGGGGCCCGTGGAATAAAACTGCAAGACCTTGCCGAGGGCGAGCAGCGAGTTCTTGACGACCGTTTCGTACATTGCTTCGAACTTGTCAACGTGCGGGGCAACCTGCGGGCTGGGGGGATCGCACCGCCACTTCCTCATCCACCTTTGCGATCCTCCGTCATCCTAGCACCGTGACCCTGGCATGCCACTCAGTCCCCCCTCCACCTCCGCCTCCACCTCCACCCTCCACTTCCTCCTCCTCCTCGTCCTCCTCCTCTTCCTCCTCGCCGCTATCGTCATCGCCCTACTACCGTCGGCCTCTCCTCCTCTCACTCGCCCCGCAGCCTCGTTCGCAAACTGGAACTTGGAAAACTCATCGTCCAGCTCCACGAGGTGCTGGAGGGTGGGCTCTGCTGAGAGTTTGGCGACCACCCTCTCCACAGCTTTGATCTTCTGATCGTAGTCGGCCAAGATGGACCGCGCGTTCTTCCTCAGCTTGTCCCCATGGCCCGTCGCCGAGAAAATCTTGAACGTCTCCGACGAGCCGCGTTTGATCTGTTGCTCGAGGTCTGTGACCCTGTCGAGCTGTCCGGGCAGGTTGTACTTGTCCACGTCGAACATGGCCTTCAAGACCTGCAGCTCCTTCGTCAACTCCTCGTCGAGCTCGACGCCCGGGGAGGGCACGGCTTCCGGGAAATGGATCGGAGACAGGAAATCGCTGATCATCTTCAGATGGCGCTGCTTGTCCTTCGGGATCTTGTCCCCAGTCAGCGTCACGAGCTCAATCAAGGCGTCGTTGACCCGATCCTGCGGGCAGAGGGCGCGAGGACATGACGACGGAGACGAGGAGGAGCGAGCAGGATACCTAACAGGATGGGGACGTAGAAGAGGAAGTGGAGAGGGATAGGGGAGGCGATGGATGAGCATGGGGAGGATCAAGGGAGTAGTGAGGATAGAGAACGATACAGACTGAAGAAAAGCAGGAGACAGCGGAAGTGGTGGAGGAGCGGGGAAGTGCATACATGACTCCAGATGAATGGTGATGGTGGGGGGAGGCCTAAATCGCCCGAGTTCGCAATGGCTCCTTCTGCCAAACGACCAGCTCGTCCGTGGTGCAGAGGTGCCGGCACTCCGCCCTGGAGATCAGCTTGAAGCGCGCAAGCATCCTCGCCTCGACGTCGTCACCCCCGTTCAGCAAGTCGGCCACGATGTCCCAAGAGAACTTCATCTCCCGGATGGCCTGATCCATACAGTCCGGCAAACCAAGGTCCACGGCAGGCTCCTGCGCGGCAATTCCCTCGACGGCTGCGAGTTCGTCCAGGAACTCACCAGTGGTGCCCTTCCTGGCCCACGTCTTGAACGCCTTAGTGAGCCTCACTTGGCCATCAGATACCCTGAGAGCTTTCGCCGCTTCTCCCTGGGAACGTTTATCGAGCACCCTGATCTTACCCGTCAAGCTGTCCACCAAATTCTTGACCGTCTTGAAGTGTTTCTTGTCGAGGCCCAGCACGGAGCCCCTCTGATGAGAGCAGAAATCCTTATTGAGCGTTTCGAGCTTATCGAGCTGCTGCTTGGCAACGCGGTCCGTGACTTCGCCAGCGGCAGCCGCCGCTGGCGCCTTGCGGCCTCCGCCGCCGCCCGTGGACCCCTTCATCAGCGGCGGCGGCGCGTTGCCAGCGGCCTTGGCCTTGGCTTTCGCCTTAGCCTTCGCCCCTGCGGTCGCTGGCGCTGCAGAGGTCCCGCCAGTAGAAGCACTGGCCGCCGCGGTCCTGCTCCTCTTGAGCGTCGGCTCGTCGCCCTCGTCAGCAAGCATGCTGAGCAGGTCGAGCGCCCCCTCATCCTCCTCGTCATCCTCGTCCTCGTCCTCAGCAGCCTTCTTCGACGAAGTCCACTCTGGCCCGGCAGCACAGCCCTCTGACTTGCTTGGCGGGGACGGCGCAGACACTGCTTGTTCCATGGCCTTGCCGACGATCTTGTTCTGGCCGTGGGCGCTCTGCATCTCCTCGAAGATGCTCCGCACCCGGCCCTGCTCAACGAGCGTCCCATCGTGCAACGTCTCCTCGTGCTTCAAGGTCTGGGCCTGGGCGAACTCGGCCTCCATCTCGTCGTCCGCCGTGGTCGGGGCGAGGACGACGTCCCTGGAGGCAACGAGAAGCGCTCGGAAACCGAGAAACGATTCAGGAGCCCCCCGAGAAATACAAAGACACCAGATTATCGGGAGCCAGCCTAGACGACTGCGAGCCCCTCCAGGCCGATTGTTCGCATACGAAACGTCCAGGAGACATGCCCCCGAGCGAGGGCCTCCCCAATTGGTCCCTAATTTCAACGACTTGGTAATTTAAGCGAGCAGTTATTCGGCTGGCTGGGCATGCCTTAAATTTTAAGGCATGCCCAGCCAGCCGAATAACTGCTCGCGGCCGCTAGCTCGACGGTGGCGTTTCGAGGGCGATGGGGTTGATGGTTAATGGATTAACAGTGATATTGTGTAGCACGCCGGGGCCTGACGACGCCGTCCTTCCATTTGATCCGTGTCTGCGTATGGCCCAAACCATTTGTCGCTGGATCTCCGAATGCGTAGCTGCTCAGTAATTTGTACACGCCTTTAACACCTGCTTTGAAGGAATTCGTCTGCTCCTTGACGATCCTCTCGCTCGGCCCAGTGAAAGTGTGACTGGTAGCATTACCGCTCTTGCAGTGTTCAGTCAGGGCATCGGCATAGTCAGAGAACTCCTTCGCAACGTGGCCATCGCTAGCCAGCTTTACCTTTAAAGAAGCCATCGTCTCGCCAGGGTGAAGCTTTGCCCTGCCAGCACCGCAGTAGGCGCAGCACCGGCCCTCGAAGTTCGGTTTATTCCAAGATCTCGGGGTTACGGGGCTACTATAATCAACAAAGTGGTCAGATCCCGCCTCCTTCGTCCGCATGTCCTCGTCCACCTCTCCTTCCTCTCATCATCGGTCCCACTCCTCCTCACCCTCCCTGTCCTCATCCTCACATCCCCATCCTTCCCATGTCGATCCCATCGCCATCATCTTCCTGAGAGGGGAATGAGCATTGAGGACTTCAATCCGATGCCACCTGGTACGATCAGGATATATAGGGTCTGGCGTCCCCTGCGTCACGCGGCAGAGGTCGCACTCCTTCGACATGAGCTTGGCGCACAACGGGCCCATGACATCCTTGGCCTGCGCGAGGGGCACCCCGACGACCCCGATGCCGCATGCCTTGACCCCCTCGGACTTGCCGGTCCACGACGCGGTGGCGGTCGCAGCTGTCACCACCGCTGCCATCCCGAGCATGGCGCCCGCATGAACCCCCTCAACCATTCTCTGACGCTTGGCAGGACCCTGGCGGGCCGCGCTGCCACCGACCTGATCAGCCGCCAGGCTCCGAAACCCGCAGCCCTCGAAGCTTCCTGGGGGGAGGGGGGGCGGGGAGAGGTGATGGGGGCAGAACGTGTCACGCGGGCTCGGAATCCAAAGCTCGGGCGCCAATCAAGCCAGGACCACGGGGCACCTGGGTTGCGGGGCCCGCATCGTGCCCCAGGTCGACGGCCAGGTCCGCGACAAACTCGGGGCACTCGCTAACGGCGTCCAGCAAGTCCGCCATGGAGCGCGAGGCTCTGGCGAAAGCAAGACGCAAGCTTGCTGAGTCAGGGGCGGGGGGGGCGACAATCGATCTGGGGGGCCGGCGAGAGCTGCTCAGGGCCCGAAGTAACTGCGCCCCAATGGCTACACACAAGAGGCTAGACTTCGTTCGAAATTGACTGGCTAGCGCCCAGACGTCTTAGAAGGCTTCCAGGAAGGCTGAGGTCAGAGGTCTTGCGAGCTGAAGCTCAGAGGTCACGAGGGCATAGGAGGGCCCAGAAGAGCATAGGAGGGCTGAGGTCCCAAGCCCCAGGGCATAGGAGGGCTGAGGTCCCAGGTCCCAGGCCCCAAGAGGGCATAGGAGGGCAGAGCGCGGAAGGGGCAGAAGGACTGGCCAAAGCTGACGGACGACAAGGTGAAAAAATGAACACAAATTGTTTCACTCCTCACGTGACATCGGTCGGGCACAGACTCCCAGCATGCCCGTCCTCTGGCGGCCGAGCTGCGGAACACGTCCGACGCCGTGCGCCCGCGCGGCAAAAACAAGTCGAGAAACCTAACGCTGGTGCCATCGGGCCGATGGCATCGGCCACTGGTGGATGCCCAATGCAATCGGGCACCTATCTTCTATGTGCTGCATGGCCCCCACCCCCCGCTGTGGCCCCTGGATTCCCTGGATCGCCCCCTGCTAGAGTTGGCATCAACGCACTGCTACTGCTAAGACCGACGACGGCCGACCGCCTCGGGGCCGCCAACGCTGATGGCCCAGGCTGCCAGGCTTGCCCGGGCGGCCCAAAAGACAGCACTTGAATATGCAAAGCTCGGAGTGCGAGCGAAGCCATCCCGGCCTTTCGAACGGTGCAACCTCCCTATGATGTCCCAGATGTCGTAGCTAATACACGCTCTGCATGTACGCGGCGATGGCCTCCTGCACCTTGCTCGGCTCCGCCGTGAGGATATCAATGATCTTCCGCTCATGCTCCTCGTGGTACTCGTCATCCTTGAGCTTGAAGACGGCCATGGACGAGATGGTGAAGGCTGTAGCCGTGTGCGCATTGAACGCATTGCCAGCGAGGCAGCGAATGTCCTTGCGGGAAAAATTCCACAACTCCTCGAAAGAAAACATCGGCAGCCCCTGGGCCCGGAGCGCCTCGCTGGGCTGCAAGACGCGGAACCTGCGACGCAACCTGTGGAGGTGAGCTCCCGCTCCTCTCGCCCCCCCCCTTGCCCCTCGGGCCCTCTCCACGGTCCCCCCCCCCTCTCCTCTCATCTTGGGGGGATTATTTCGGCGTGGACATCGAGCGCGCTCGATGTCACCCCCCTGCGGAGGGGGGCCAAAAGGACCGTGCGAGGGGCCCCCCTCCCCCTCCTCCTCCTCTCCCTCCTCCTCCCCCTCCTCTCCTCCTCCTCCTCCTCCTCCTCCTCCTCCTCCTCCTCCTCCTCCTCCTCCTCTTCCTCATCATCATCATCATCATCATCATCATCATCATCTTCTCATCATCATCATCTCCCCCATCTCCTGCTCCTCCTCCTCCTCCTCCCCCTCCTCCTCCTCCTCCTCCTCCTCCTCCTCCCCCTCCTCCTCCCCCTCCACTCCTCCTCCTACGCCCTAGCCAAGTGGGCGCGATCCTGGGAGGACAGAGTCCTGAGTCCAGGAGTCCTGAGGCATTGCGTCGTGGCCAGGTGGGCGCGACCCTGGGATGACAAAATCCTGAGGCATTAGTTACGTCGCGGCCAAACGGCCACATTCGGGGGGGGGGCGAGGGCGAGCGAAGTTTGGGCCCAACCACGGAAGGGCTTTGGGCGTCAAGCATGGGACCCCGCCCTCGCAGATCGGGATCCTGTTGAGCGACTGCGCGATGTCAATGACAACCTCGCGCTGCGAAGACGGCGAGATCCTGCCCATCTTGAGGTCGTAGAACAAGACCACCTCGCGACAGCGAGGCGGCAGCATCTTCAGCCGGTTCACCTCATTGGCATTGTAGTGGAGCGAGAGGATAGGAGGATACCGAAACCCATTCTCGCGGAAGATGGCCGCGTGGAGCTCCGGCCATGGCGTAGACTTCGTCTCCTTGTCGTCGGCGAGAGGCAAGCGCACTGGTGACTCATCTTCAATATCGTCGCTGTCCAGCGCCTCGTGGGGCAGGTCGTCCGAGGAGTAGGGGTCATCCATCCACTTCTCCATGTCGCAGCAGTCCTAGGGCGCCGCAATGCGCGGCACGACGCCAAGCACGGCGGATTCCGAAAACGCCCGCCCAGACACCAGCATCCGAAGTGCGCCAGAGAAGACAACCCATCATCCAGGAAGCAACGCCGACCCCCAAGATCTGAATGTCCAAACTCCCCCCACCCTCAGGCTGTGACCCTAAATTCCAAGGAATCTGAAACCTTCTGAAGGCACCGCAGTCCTCGGGCAGCAGCAGATCGTCCAATTTCGCCTGCTCCATCTCGATCCCCCTCAACGTGTGCAGCATCTTCTCCTTCTCAGGGGCGTAGCGCTCAAGATCCTCCGGCGTCAGTGCGGCGTGGGAGGCCCTGTACGCCACTCCCCACCACCGCGTTCGCCTCTGCGGCGATCCGTGGCATCTCGAATCGTATACAGCGGAAGCGAGGACGTACCCCAACTCATTGAGGATCTTCTCGAGGTCGTCAGCGTTGCTGGTGCTCGTCTGAGCGTCGATGACGTCGGTGATGGCCGTCACGTTCTCGAAGTAGATCAGACGCGGCCTGGCTCTCTTCACGTATCCCAAGCCGCCCCTGAGGGACTCGCCCGACTTGAGGGAGCCGCCGGCGAGGCAGCCCGCTGACAATAAGCAATCTATGTTTAGGTGCGACATGCTTTTGCACACGAAACCAAAATATATGATATCCGTGGGGGGGGGGCGTCTTGCACACGCCTGACACGACATCCAAAGCCCTGGGTCCGCTCTGGAATTCGGTCACATCGGCGAAAAGGATCTTCGGCGGGGGCTTCACCATCGACATTATCCACCTTAGGGAAGGCCAATGGCTTCAAGCTGATAAGATGAGATGAGACGAGAGCCAATGGCTTCAAGCCAATGGCTGAGAGCCAATGTCGATCCCTAAGGCTTGAAGCCAAGGCTTCAAGCCTTAGGGGTCGACATTCACCAATGAGATGGCTTTAAGCCATCTCATCTCATCTTACTGCGCCCTCACTCTCGAACGAGCTCCCCCACTCTCCCTCCGCAGCGAGGAAGGGGGTGGGAAGGCATGAGGACGGGAGGAGGGCGGGATGAGGAAAGGAGGAAGGGAGGAGCATGGAAGGAGGAAGGCGATCCCCATCATGCTTATCTCTCCTCCCACCTTTGTTTGGCCTGATTGTTCTCGCAGCTGAACGTGTGCTGCACGCAGCCGCCCCCGATGTCGCCGACGACCGCTCGGGCGACGCCCAAGCAGATGTCGGTGCCGCTGCACAGCGAGCCTGTCGCATAGGAGGACGAGTAGCAATTCACGATGAGCCTCGCTTGGCCCGCGGGGGCGAGCAAGTGGTACATCTGTCTGGCGACCTCGGCGCAGGTGCCCAACTTGCACCTGCCGCTGTCCGTGGAGATCTCCCGGGCCAGCCGTCGCGGAGCCGGCCTCCTCGGGATCGGTTTCACCTGGGCTGGCTTCGCCGCTGCTGCTCTCTCTCTCCGCCCCCATCCTGAATAAAAACGTTGCGGGAAATTTGAAAAAGCGTCGCGGGCAAACACGTTTCGGCTTAGTTCCCGCAAGGAAACTCCGAAGGGCCCTCTGGGCCCCGCGAACCACCCAGAAACCCTCAGGACCCCCATCCAGCCTCGTGCCCCTCGCCCTGGACCCCCTTGTCCTCTCCTGGTGCCCCCAAGCCCCCCCCCTCTGGCCCCCTGCCCCCTGCCCCATGCCCCCTTGCCCCCCCCTGGCCCCCCCCGCCCGGCCCCTCCCCCCGGACCCTACAAACTCCCGGAAACTCCCGGGAACTCCCGGGATGCTCCACTCATACATAAGGAATCCTATTATAAGCCTTAAGGTACCCCCAAGGGAACCCCCGGAAACTTCCGGAAACTCCCGGGAAAGGGAGGGGGCAGAGGGGGGGGGTAGGAGGGGGCCAGGGGGGGGCATAGGGGGGGCGGCGGGGGGGCAAGGAGGGGCCAGGGGGGGGCCAAGGGAGCAAGGAGGGGCAAGGCGGGGCAAGAGAGAGGAATAAGGGAGCAACGAGGGGCCCTGAAGGCGCGGGGAACGCACTGTTGGTTCACAAGATCCGCAACCTGGCGCGCCTGGCTTCTCCATCCTCCTCTTCCTGCTCCTCCTCGCTTTCCTCTTCCCCCTCCTCCTTCTCCTCCTCCTCCTCCTTCCACTCCCTCCTGATCCCGCCAGTCAGAGTTGCGAAACTGACCGCGCTCGCCCTACTCCTCACTGCGTCCTACTCCTCACTTCGTCCTACGTCCTACTCCTTCTCCTCCTCCCTCCCCCCCCGCCGCCCCCCCCCTCTCCTCCTGGAGTCGGCGGCTCGACGATGCCGCGAGACCTTTGGGCCCTGAGAGGCCCAGGGCCCAGGAAAACCCCGAGGCACGCGGGGCGCCCAGGCCCTTGGGGCCCACTGGCCTCGCCCATTCCAACGCGCCCGTCACGCGGATCGTGGAGTCTGGTCTGGACTCGACGCGCAGGGCCGAAGTCCCATGGGTGGGGGATCCATTCGGAGGGGGAGGGCCCGCTAACTATCGATTCACTCCCCCCCCCAGTCGGGGGCGGGGGCGGAATCGCCCCGCGCGCGCGGGCCCCAACCCAAGGCGATCATACCTGGCCGTCGACGCCCACTCGGGCGGCGGCAGGGGGGCAGGGGAGTCGATAACTAAGGAGCCCCCCCCCCCCTTCATTGGACCCCCCTGGGCGCGATGAATGGATGACGTGACAGCGGCCAGGATCGGGGGGGGGAGAGCCGCATTGGTTCGGCAACTCTCATTCCGAAGTTAACTCCAAGACCGAGCTTAAGGCTTAGTTGGGGAAGGCCAACTGGAATAGTGAAAAGGTGGCTCTATTCTT